GAGAATATACTCTGAAGTAACGACTTAAAATTTTTACAAAAGGCAGAATTTGCTTTTTACTTTCTTTCGTAGCAGACAAAAATATCTTCTGTTATGCACTGTCAAAATAAAATGTTTCCAATTTGTAAAAACCTACAATCATAATAATAAGGGCAGTATAAATATAAAAATATCGTAAACGGTGACGAATGTAAGAATGTCTTTAGTCACATTTTCTGCTTGAAATGGATTAACCATCAACCTCCTTAAGAATTTTTACTAGAACTTTGAATCACTCTGTATAGTGTTTTGGTAGCTGAATAAAACTAGCATGTTCTCATTCCTACCTTCGTAAAATATTAGGCTTCTTATATTAAGAAATTTCTTTATATTCTTATGCCGATATTAATTAAGTTATTGTGTATCAGATTGGATTCACTTGTCCTATAAATGTCCTTAAACTTGTTACGAAAGTCTCCCAAATTCATTTGGTTATCGTGTTAACTAATACGTACCAACATAGTTCAGTGACAGTTCGTGCCAAAAGCATCTAGCGGTCAGTGACATTCTGGCAAAGGTCTCTGTAATTCTGCTGACGTGTAGTTACACTCAGCTGTAGAACACAGAGTCTTTACGTTACCAAACTAAAGTACTTCTATATTACGGTACAGTCCACCCCATTCTTGGGGCCAAGGCATATTTGACGGGAAATTGAAACTTTATTTTACTCAAAATATAACCAGCACAACGCCACTGACGGTTTTACGTCAAAAAATTGGTGAAAGAGTTCGTGATATTTTTCTGGCTTCCACTGGGTTGTTGTTCTTTAAAAGCATAATTTTTCGTATTCCTTATTTCACTTTTATCCGACCAACCCTTAACACTGCCTTTCCTCCGTATCTTTGTAGCATTTGACTTCCTTAACTGTGTTCGGCCTGGCGACTGTGTTCAAAGCGAATTATCCTTCCGTACTTGATGTCAATTAGTTGCTCAAGTTTGCTTAAAACAGTTTCATCGAGGGAAACTTCCCTGTTTTGTCAAACAGAAAGGGAACTGGGGGTAATAAGTGGGGTAGAAGGATCTGTAACTTTTTTTTTTTTTTAGAATTCTTTGAATATCACTTGCTACTGTACAAAACTTACATTTCAAAACCAACATTCCTCCCACATTATCAAGTTCACGTACGCTGAATCGACTTGGAATGTCGCCATTTACACAGCTGATTCCAAGTGACAAACGAACTCCCTCTGTGAATCGCCAGATGAGGTTTCGTACTGTGAATGTTCTATTTCTTGACGCAGAATTGTTTGGTATACAATATTTTTACAACTCATTGTTCCATCGACCTGTGTTAGAAACGTCATGGCGCTGTATCGAACATGATTATTTTTCCTAACGGTACGTCTGTGTTATCACGTATGTTAGCGGATGGCGGCAGATGGAGATTTTACTAATCCTTGTTGCATTCGTCATTATTAAACATTATTTTCAAAGGCAAACGCCTGTTTGAGTTTATAACTTTTATAAGCCGATACTCGTCTGAATAAGGCTTGATATAGTTCAACCCCCACCCGAAATAAAAAAAAGGCAGCAGTAATTCATGTTAAATGATTTAATACCGTGTATATGCGTGCGTATGTTGAATAGCATAACTCGAAGTTTTCTGCGTTGTAAACCAAGTTTCGTTTCCGGCTGAAGAAACCTCTGCAAATTTCAATTGCAACAAGCAGACACTGGTTATTTTATTCCCTGATGATGGAGGCAGCAAGGAGCTCCGAAACATGTGTAAACTTCTACAAGACTGCACGGCGCAATAACCGAGAAGACAGCCATGTTCCTACTCGCCGTCGTTAGAACATCAAATTCTAATTTGTTAGACGCTTGTGGTGTCGGAAATTCTGTGTTTTCGTTGCATCTAGAAAGATTACCTTCCGTAATCCTGAAGGCCTGTTTCCGTAGACTCATTTGTTCGTAAGTTTCGCTGAATTAAAATATTGACGTATTTCCAGCCTTTTTACATTGAGAATCTGACTGCGTTCCACACTTTTGTTGAATGTGAATAGGGGATAGGAGAAAACGTCTAAATGCAAAGACTTAAAGTAAACAAACATTTTGTAGCCTCTGAAGCTATTACAGTCATGCAGATAAAAATATTAATTGAAACCAAAAACCGAGCTACCAACATCGGAAGCACTCTGCAGACTGCGCCGTTTTTGTGAACGAATTGATGTCTCCTATTACGAGACTTCGAAACGAAAAGTAAAATTGTGTGTCGTAAAGAAACACGTGATATTCTGGCCAGAAAGTTTCCCTGCCACACCGCAGAACCAGAAGTGAATCGGAATTTTTCAATCGACCGGGTTCCCTTGGTACAGAAAGAATCCGGAAGGCGTTCCGTGTAGGGGTGTCATCGCGTTCCTCCCCTGCCGCTCCCTTCTTCGGGACGAGTCTGCCAAGTATTTTTTACCCGCGGTCCTGTTCGTCGTAGTTAGTTAAACGTCAACACATCTGCATGTCCTTTCACGACAGCTGTCCTCATGAGAGACTTCGTCTCACACGATCAGTCTACATTTCTCTGCCTGCCGATAGAATTATTTATGGACGGTACTTGAAAATATGATTACTGCCCTCCTCTTCAACATCATCTCAACCTCGGCGTTACAGAAGTATGCAGTTGATTAAACGTCGTTAAATGAGGTAATTATGAAAGTGAATTACTCTGTGTAGTGAATATTGTATGCACCGTCTAGCCTTTTCAGGCCTTAGAGAGAGAGAGAGTTAGGAAGGAGTAAGGAGATAAAATTGATGGAGAATAAGCATCTTATAGTTAGAAGGTTCCCAGGCAATGCCCGCTCGTCTTCAGGTCAGGATAGAATCTGCTTGAAGAAGTTAGGGTGATAAGTGTAGTGACAGGTTGCTAACAGAGACGGTGGAGCTGTTATGCCACGGATTTAATTTAATTTAATTTTAAGTAATTAATTTAGCGGCCTCCACTGTAAATGACGTAAATTTTGATGAATTTAAATCGGAAGGGCTGCATGAGAAGCTTGCAGTGGCAACTTGGAACTTGGGAACCATCTCAGCATTTGCTTGAAGACAGAGGAAAACCAAGGAAAACCTGTGTCGGGATGGCGTTTAAATAATATTTAATAATTCAGTCCGTACCGCGAAGAAAACACAACTCTTCACCATTACACAGATCGACTGGTTAACGCTGTTTAAGGAGATAATCGTCGTTTACACTTAGAAACACGCAAAACAAATAGGTTCAAAGGGTTAATAAGATGAAATGTGTTACAGAATATAAAGACGACATCCGAGAAAATGGATTATGCCCGAAAGAAACCACCGCGTGTTTGTGAAGCGACTGTTTTTGTCGAAGTTTCCCTTCGTTTGGAATGTCGTTCCTGGCATCGCTTCGACCTGTCGATATCGGATGTTGACGTTTGAACGCTGGAGGCGGCAGTCGATACAACTGCTTACTGCAAACAAACGTGCTCTTCGATAATAGAAATGGCGTGGCTGTTATGAACGACGTTACATGTAACAGCCCTGCAGGATCGTCGGATAGCTTCACGATACGTCACAAACAATCAGCTGTTTTTAAACAGCGTACACAGAATAACTTTAAATATATGATGTCAGCAATTTTCTGTGTTTTTCTCAAGGCATTGGCAGAAATCGTGAGCAGTCTGTTACTAAATTTTCCGAACTATGCACTGTCCAGTACAGGTAGACACAAATGTCGTCCCATTCCATTCTGATTTAATATATAATTTTGAAATGAATAAAAAAATCACATACTATTAAAACCGACTGCTCATGTGTTAATTTTCACGTAAGAACGCCAAAAATACATGACAGATTTCGAAGAGATTCGGTATTATAATCTTATATTACATTTTGATCCAATTTGTATTCAGAAGTTCTGCTTTAAGAACACGTTACTTGGATGCGTGATCATTTTCATTAAACTGTTTGTGTAATTAGTCATGAAATTCATTAGTGCTAATCTGTTTAATTTTTTTAACCTAAGAGAAGATACGTCCTGCCTAAAAGATGTATTCCTGTTCATAATATGTATATTTTTTTAAAGCCTGCTGGTTTAGATAATGTACCTCGTGCGTAGGGCTGATAGGGTTAGTATTATCCTCTCGTATATACAAAATTATCCCCTGTGCTCACTTTCTTTTAGTGTTCTCTCTAAAAAAATTTATGTGTATTTCTAAATCCCTGCATGTCCCTTCTGTATTATCCTTCATAATTTAATGACACTGATAATTCTCATAATTGTGGAGGATTAAAAATTAAGCAGCTGTTAATTTATCTCCTTCCATCTTAATTATGTCGAAATATTCTCTTTAATACTGCGAAGAATTAGCGTTAAATTGTCATCTTATACAGGGTGTCCCATGTAACAGTGCAAAGCTTCGCGCAGTGGATTCTGTGTCTAAAAGTAACAAACATTTATTTATTCTAACTTTGACAAGTTACATTACCAGCGCGATGCAAATGCTTTCCAAAGCACTTTATGAAACAATAGAACATAAACTTCTAATAAAATACGTCTTCTTAAACTAAAATCAGTTTCTTTTTAAATTTTTAAATAATATTATGTGAAGTGACGTACCACAGAGTAATTTAATTTCTAATTTTTAATGAAACAATGATGTGAATGTTCCGAAACAATAAATACAAATTGACTTTTTGAGCCAGAGAATGCTGTACAATTTTACACTTTTAAGTCTGAAGCTTGTCCATACATTATTTAAATATTCAGTTATTACCTCAAGGACATCACAAGGAGTTTTTAAAAAATTGATCAACTGCACGAGGATTTTCGTGTGGGGTCACGTTGTCGCCTGTGTTGATGTAAAACGGAACGACTCGACTGAAAATGAAGATGGCTGTCTTCTGGACAGCCTTGTAGAAGTTCACCGATGTTTCGGTACCACTCATCGCCATCATGACGAAGACGGCAAGGACCTCTGAAACGTCGATCAACGGCGCAACAACCCGACAGCCACTTTCATATTCGCCGCCATGAGAATCTGAGATCTCACCAAGTGTGAAAAGTTTGTAGTCAGTAGAAACCATAAATGGCTTCTGAATTTACGGAAGAAGGTACGAATTCCAAGAAACCTGTTTTATGTTCTAGAATGTTTGAGCTTTTGAGAAAACGTCTTACCGGCTCTGTAATGAGTACATTTACGGTCGTGGGTACATCAGAATAACACTTGTAACACTCTTATTACGTAAGTAACATTTTCCTTTGATGATTTCAAATTAGCCAGTCGCTTACAATAAAATTTACTTTATTTTAAACTTTATCTTCTATTTGCTGAGTTAGTTCAAAAGAAAATAAACACGCTGCCGTTATTGGAACTTTCTGAACAAATTTTGATACCAGTCCTCGAGATATTTTTGTTCTTGTATTCAAATTTAATACATATTTTATTCTTCATGCGCTTTGGAGAATGTTGAGGAAGTTGTTTCAGAGAGGAGGCGGTAGTTCGTGATTATTTCCTCTGATATTCATAATATAACAGCAAATGTTCGTTCACTGTTTTCTTAAATTAAACTCGGTGAAGTTATTAAACTGTTCATTTATATAACGTGCCCGCGAAAATACATTTTATACCAGAAGAAAATTTATCCTCGTAGCAGAAAACTAACCTAACCTAACCTAACAAAAACACGATATACGAAGTTCACAAGTGATACTTGAATGTAATTATCCTACAAGGAAGAGAAACGTTCAGTGTTTATCGTCAACTCAGATTTTGCGTCTGTAATGATTTGGCATCAGAGGCGAACACTTGGATCGTGGGTTCGAATCCCACTAGGGGTATAAATGTATTTTTCTCTTCTGTTGTCACGTGACGGGTATAACACTCCCTTCGTCCTGTCAGAGAATTCGTACCAGATGTTGAACCAGAACGATTATTCATAAAAGCCAAGACTCTTAGTAAGTGGTAATGGTAATTTGTTTTATTTTCATTCCATTCAGTTTATGGCATTAGACACACACCAATTTTGCGTTTCTTGGTTTTGTATTCCGGTCATAAAATTGAACGTATTAAAGGAATATTCGAAACATTTAAATATTTTATTAATGTCATACAATGATGGATAATTTACAAGGGATTGACCTTGAACTTCGTAAATTTGGGACGGGGGTGATCATAGACATACATGTACTGCACCCGTCGCCCCACGCCAAGGTCATTGACCTTAGACAATTTTCTCATCACTGACACTATTTACAAAAGGCCAGAGGTTTTATTTTGACGAAAACTTATTGTATTGTTACTACTTGTAATAGAACGTCTCATGAACTGAAAATGTGTTTACATTATAATTGCGTACGCAACAGAATTCGGCTGCGCGCGCATCCACTGATTTATGTGTCTGTAGTGCGTGGTTTGCATAGATTTAAAGTGATTTGATAAAATTTTAGCAGATATGCTATGTGTAGGCTTTCTGTCTGGTTTTTGATGTTTTATTCCATTATCATGATGGTGATATTTATATTTCTTCATTTATTTTTCTTTGCGTATAATATTTTTTCTATTTTCGGTTTGCCTGTATTTGGCTGTTATATTTAATACTGTACATGTATAAGTTTAATTAATCTATTTGTGTAATATTTTTCATTATTATTTTATTATTATTGTGAGTTTTATCAGTGTTTGCCTGTTATTGGCTTCTTGATGTTGGCAAACACTTAAAATAAATTAATTGAATTTAATAATAATACCAACAGTTTTATAATATCACATTAATAATAATAACAGAAACCTCAAAGATCTCATCACGAATTCCGGACAGATGAGCAGTAAATTTCACACGTGACACAGGAAGAGGTCGCTCAATTTATTTATGTTTTCCTGCTTTCTAAAGTAACCGATGTATTTCCAGATGGCCGTGTAATCTTCATGCCATTTCGCTTCGCCAACACCTTCTTAGCTGGTCTGTTACATTCGAAAACTTGTTTGTTTTATTGTCATACAAAAAGCTTTCTTTCGTATCTCTTCAATGTTGTAAGAAAATAGTATATCTAGCTTACCAAGGATTTGCTTTCGTCTGCTGTTAACGTTCTGCTAACAATATCCACAGAGAAACAGTAACGTAACATCCACTTCTCTGAACCAGGAGGAAGCCTGTGTTTGAAATACATTTCCCTGTCTACTTCAAAGTGTCGCAGAAGAAATTTGTTCGAATTGTACAGTTGCGAAATTTGACGTAGATTGTGACACTCGAGTCTCTGTAAGTATAAACATACTATTACTTCAACCCTGAAAAAGGAGACGGTATGTTTCTCCGATAAATGGGTATGGAGTACAAATCTGCACGGCGATACAACCCAGAGGAACTTTGCCACGCGTAAGATTAGCTGGAAAGTTTCAATTATATATGTTGAAAAATATTGAAATCTGTTAAGGAATTCGAAAAATGCCGAGGGCTAAAGAATTATTTTAAAAAATTAAAGCAGTGTGTTTCCATTGTAATCAGTGGCGGATTATTCTTGTGTCCTTCCCGCGTTTGCGAGTTGGTCGGACAAATTATTTTTCTTTTCACGTCTGTGTGCCTTTAATGCTGAGCGCGTTGCATAATTTTAGGGCTGCGTGAAGAGCCGACGGTGCATTTGAAAACGTCGACACGCTGGCTTAACTTCTGTGGGGGGTTTTTTTCAATAAAAAAATCTGCTTTCACAAACCATCAGAGGATTTCTGTGTGACTGGACGAACACAGAGTACAGGAATCTGTGGACGAGGTTCACTCACGGTTGTTACAGACCGCATCAGAGACGTAACTCAGAGGCATTTAAATGAATATTCCTATTTCACGATGCTTAGATAAAAGGTTTATACCATGTACATACTCGTTCAAAAGTCTTGAGATTCGTAAATAATATATTTGTACAGTCGACACAAAAGGAAATTACACATTATTATTTGAGCAATCTTAAACAGGTTCTTTAAAATACTTAAAAAAATGAATTCCCTAATTTAAACCATCATGTCTTCAGTTAGCGTTGTGCCAACGCTGTGTATTTGTATTCATGAGGTATCCTATTCGAATCTCTACTGGGTTCCTACTTATCCACACTCTTCTACGTGACTGTCGCTGTACGAACGCCTCCAATCTAATCCTTACCTGCTCACTATTTATTATGCAATCGTTTAACTTTAATCCTTAAAACATCCACAGAATAAACAGCGTTTTAATAATATGAAAAGTAATTATTAATTACAGCTGATTACGTAAATTGAATCCGTGTAGCTGGGGTTTGATTCTCGATAATATCTGTAGGGGTATTTAACTTTACTGTTCTATCTGATACCAACTCATTATAATTTGTGTGTCTGATTGGTTCTGTAATCTGGTGTAAATACAGTCGCAGCTCTAGACTAGAGCCTAAAATTGATAAAGTTTACGAACCCAAGGCGGTTCTGTTCGTAATGGTAGCTTATTACCGTAAATATATTTAAAGGTAAAATTATCCTCATACCGAAATTGTAGGGTGGGAGTGGAGGTGTTCTTAACTTCGGCTGATGGAGGCCAGTAGTTACCTAACGCTCCGGCAGCTTTAACTCTGACCAGGTCGAAACTAGGGCACCGGGAAATATATCGATAAATGTGACACCACATTTTCAAAGAAGAAATGTTGGTAGACGTGGCTTCAGTGTTCGCGTAAATAACTAACATGTCTCTGTCTCACTTTCGTTGTGTCTGTTTCACACATCCGTGGTCACTGAGTTGAGATTCATGTAAAAAATGACCTGTTGAAATTTTGACCCAGAATAGTGTGAATTACAATAAAATATTCCAATGTTGGAAGAAATCGGTACTTTATTTTTGTTTTGGAACGTTTTTGGTACGCTAAACATTTTCAGTTACATGAAAATTGCGAATAGTATGCAAACGAAAAGTACAGGTCTGTGATAAAAATTCATAAATTAGTTTCGAACTTTTCTTTATAAGAATGGAGTATTTGTAAAGATAAAGTCCGAACTTTCGGAAATATGTACAAAGTCAGGAAACATAATGTTCGCTACTAGAGAAATCGTCTAAAAATGCGAATTCGATCACCATTTCTGTCTGTCCATCTGTCTGCCGTTGTCTTGTGTAATAGTTTGATAACAACTGAACGGATTTTCGTAAAATTTCAAATTTCTACTCATACTTGCTGAAAATCCCGTGTTCTGTTGTAGTAAAGAACAATTGCATGGAAGACACGTGGAGTAC